TTGAGGTCAACGTTGGTCGGCCATTTTTTGGGAAGAAAAAATTGCGGCCCTTTATATACTTCTTAAAGCCTTGTCCCTTAGTTTCCAATTTTAGCAGGCTGTTCGTGTGACTTTAAATTGCACAATGCATCTTGGCGTACGGTAAAATAAAATCCACCCCATTTTATTTATACTATCTTCATAATGTATCTTAGATTACATACTTATGTTACTAATCAGAAAATTCAAATGAATTATGGTCATTTTATCAACAATCAGTATATAACATGAAATATTCAAGCAACAATAATTGTTACAAGTTTTCACCTCTTCCCAGAACACTCCTTTTTTCTTAGACATTTTTCTCTGGGAAGTTGCGAGCACACAGGAAAAACTAAATTTTCTTCTGGTCACTTTCACCCCGTTCTTTGGCCGGTCTTACGGTATCTTAACAAATACTTGAAAAGATCAACCGTCAATATGAATGGACATCAGTTCACGTATTCGTCCGCGCCGCTTAGGCGAGTTAAATATGTACAGTTTGGGATATTATCACCAGAAGAAATAGTATGTTTACTTTCTTTTGAAAGTTTGTAAAGCTTCTCGCTTGCTACTCAAGTGCTAGAAATAAGGAATAGAACATATTTGACTCTCTTTCTATGCTTGTCATTGAATAACAGAAACAAATGTCGGTCGCCCAAATTGAACATCCTGAAACCATGGATGAAAGTAGCCCTCACCGACCTAAACAAGGAGGTTTACTGGATCCTCGTATGGGTACAATAGATAGAAATTATAAGTGTCAGACGTGTGGTGAAGGCATGTCCGAATGTCCCGGACATTTTGGTCACATCGAACTGTGTAAGCCTGTTTTTCACATAGGTATGTAACTTTACATTTTCCTCAAAAAAAAATAAATAATAATAATAAAGAAAAACCATAAGTCATGTACGTCGTTACACGAACCAATCGTCTTACAAACGTTTCGATTCATAATGTAGGGTTTTTGCCCAAAGTAAAAAAGATCCTCGAGTGCATTTGCCTAAATTGTTCCAAGCTAAAGACAGACGATGTGAGTTTGCTCCTGTTTCAACCGTAATGACATACAATGGACGTTTCATTCTTATCAATGGAAAAAAATTTTTTGTGTTCATGTAGTCGAATGCCAATTTCGTTCAAGCACGTAAGATTCGTGATCCAAAGCGTCGACTCATAGCTGTGTGGGACATCTGTAAAAATAAATCGTCATGCGAACGTGGTGAAGATCCGGAACAGGATGCGGACAAGAACTCGGATTACGAAGATTATGTTCATACGACTGTTCAGAAACCGACGGATAAAAAGACCGACGAAGAGCTAGGTTTAGTTAGAAAAAAGAAACCCCACGGAGGTTGCGGCCATAAACAGCCAACCATCCGTAAGGAAGGTTTGAAACTTTATGTGAATTATAAAAGTAAAGATGAGGTAAATTGATTCTTTCAAGTATCAGGTTCTGGGATCTTTTTTTCTCCTTTTTTCTTTCTTTCGGTGAATCCTCATCTCCAATTAAATTATTGTGCATGATTGCATAGGATCAGTCGGCGCAAGATACAAGAAAACTTCTTACTCCCGGTGAAGTGCACCTTATTTTCAAAAAGATCAATCCCCAAGATCTTCGTGATATGGGATTAAATGCTGAATACGCTAGACCGGACTGGATGATTATAACTATACTTCCTGTTCCTCCACCGCCCGTACGTCCCAGTATATTAATGGACGGGACGGGTCGTGGTGAAGATGATTTAACTCACAAGCTGGCGGACATTTTGAAAGCCAATCAGAACGTGAAACGATATGAGGCTGAAGGTCACCCTGCGCATGTTGTCAATGAGTTTGAAGCTTTGTTACAGGTTCGTTGGTGATCGTTGGTCGTGTTGTATGGTGCATCAAATTATCAAATTCTTATCATAAAAAAAAAACCCCCCTAATTAAATACCATGTGAAAAAAGTTTCACTGTGCCACTTACATGGACAACGAAATGGCAGGTCAACCGCAGGCGCTCCAAAAATCGGGAAGACCTCTGAAGTCGATACGTGCACGTCTTAAGGGAAAGGAAGGACGTTTGCGCGGAAATCTAATGGGAAAACGCGTGGATTTTTCGGCACGCACAGTTATCACCGGTGATCCAAATATTTCGGTCGATGAAGTTGGCGTCCCCAGAAGTATAGCTCAAAACTTAACCTTCCCAGAATTGGTTACCCCGTTCAACATTGATAATCTTCAGAGGCTGGTGGAAAATGGCCCTACCGAGCACCCGGGCGCTAGGTACGTGATTAGGGATACTGGTGAAAGAATTGATCTTAAGCACATTTCGGGCATGAGCGGAGGTTTACGATTACAATACGGTTGGAGAGTTGAACGTCATCTTTCTAACGGTGACATCGTCATATTTAACCGTCAACCATCGTTGCACAAGATGTCGATGATGGGTCATAGGGTTCGTGTGATGCCTTATTCAACTTTTCGTCTTAACTTATCCGTCACGACGCCTTACAACGCCGATTTTGATGGTGACGAAATGAACATGCACATTCCGCAATCTGTGGAAACCAAAGCCGAAATTTCAGAGATTTGTATGGTTCCCAAGCAAATTGTGTCCCCTCAGTCAAATAAGCCCGTTATGGGTATCGTTCAGGATACTTTATGCGCCGTTCGAAAATTTACCAAGCGTGATTGTTTTCTATCTAAAGATTTGGTTATGAACATTTTGATGTGGGTTGCGGACTGGGATGGTCGCCTTCCAATACCGTGCATCTTAAAACCGATCCCTTTGTGGACGGGCAAGCAAATTCTGAGCATGATTATCCCCAAGGGCATAAATTCTGACAATCTTAGGCATTCAGCTCATCCCGATAACGAACGTTCAGATATTTCCCCCGGAGATACTAAAGTTTTGATAGAGGATGGTGAGTTACTTTGCGGTATTGTTTGCAAAAAGACCGTTGGTACTTCACAGCAAGGTCTGGTGCACGTCATAATGCAGGAGTTGGGGCCTGAAAAAGCAAAGGACTTTTTAAATGGTTGTCAGGCCGTGGTCAATCAATGGTTGTTACAGAATGGGTTCAGTATTGGTATAGGTGACACGATCGCTGACAAAGATACAATGGAGACAATCACTCAGACGATTAGTAACGCAAAGAATAATGTGGCGGAAATTATCGTGAAGGCGCAACAAGGCAATTTGGATTGCTCGCCGGGTATGACCATTCGAGAGACATTTGAAAATCAGGTTAACAAAGCACTGAACACTGCTCGTGATTCTGCTGGTCGAAGCGCGGAGAAAAGCTTGAGAGAAGACAACAATGTCAAACAGATGGTGGTCGCTGGCTCAAAAGGTTCTTTCATCAATATATCACAGATGACAGCTTGTGTCGGACAACAGAATGTTGAAGGAAAACGTATTCCCTTTGGGTTCAAGTTCCGTACCTTACCTCATTTCACAAAGGATGATCATAGTCCTGAAAGTCGTGGTTTCGTCGAGAATTCCTACCTTCGTGGGTTGACACCACAAGAATTTTTTTTCCACGCGATGGGTGGTCGTGAAGGTAACCAATCAAGTGTCATACGATATTCGTGAGGCGAAATTTCATTAATTAATAATCTGCTCTTGAAATTAGGTTTAATCGATACGGCCGTAAAAACTGCCGAAACTGGTTACATTCAACGTCGTTTGGTAAAAGCTTTAGAAGATGTGATGGTCAAGTATGACGGTACAGTTCGTAATTCGCTAGGTGATATCGTGCAATTCTGCTACGGAGAGGATGGAATGGATGCATGTTTTGTTGAACCACAGTCTTTCGAATCTCTGACGATGACGAATGAGGAGTTTGACAACAAATACCTTATCGAAGTTACTAAAGACGACGTCAAAGATAAGGAGAATGAGAATGATCAGCGAGATGATGAAGCTGCTGAACCTAGGAGGCCGAAGACAGCGCAAGATTTGGTAAAGGAGAAAATAATTGAGGAGTACAATCAACTGAGCCGGGATCGTAAGATGTTACAACAGTACATATTTACCGAGGGTGATAGTAAGTGGCCGCTGCCGGTCAACATCAAACGTCTCATAAAGAACGCACAGCAAAAGTTTAATATCAGACCTTCGCGCAGGACGACCAGCGATCTACAATTCATAGACGTCATAAACAGCGTGGAGGAGGTCATAACCAAACTGGAGGTGGTTAAGGGTAGTGATCAGATTAGCATCGAAGCTCAATCAAACGCTACCATGTTGTTCAAAATTTTATTGAGGTCGTGGTTAGCGAGTCGGCGGGTGATCGAAGAATTCCATCTCAATTCTCAAGCATTGAAATGGGTGTTGGGTGAAGTTGAAGCAAGATTCCGAAAGGCCCTTGTTGCTCCGGGTGAAATGGTCGGAACCATTGCTGCACAATCTATAGGAGAACCTGCGACGCAGATGACTCTGAACACTTTCCATTATGCTGGTGTGTCCAGTAAAAACGTCACCCTTGGTGTGCCTCGTCTCAAGGAAATCATCAACGTCGCCAAAAATATAAAGACGCCGTCGGTTCACATATACTTGATAGAAGAGTGTGCCGGTGACATGAATAGTGCCAAGGAAATTCAGAGTATGATCGAATATACCACACTAAAGACCGTGACGCAACGCACGGAAATTTGGTATGATCCCAAAATTCAAAGCTCTGACATAGAAGCGGACAGGGAATTTGTGGAACTATACTACCAGATGGAAGATGATGAGATGACCAATGGTTACCAGTCTCCCTGGGTTTTACGATTTGAACTTAATGAGATGGCTATGCTCGATAAAAAATTACATATGGACACAGTTGGAAACAAGATACAGGAAAATTTCTCGGCCGACATTCAGGTAATATGGAGTGATGACAATGCTGAAAATAAGGTCATACGTTGTCGTATTAAGATTGAATCCGGCAAGGATCACACCGACGAGGTCGGAAACAGAATTGAAGAAGACGTGTTTTTGAGACGCGTTGAAAACAATATGCTTTCAAACATCGGTCTGAGTGGAATCAAGAATATAAAACGTGTATATTTGACTGATAGTCAGAAAACGCGTATCTCCGTCGATGACTCTGGAAAAATTGTTAAGGGCAACGAATGGATTCTTGAAACCGATGGTACGAACCTACTAGAGGTGCTCAATGTGGAAAATGTAGATCACAGACGTACCTACTCCAACAACTGTGTTGAAATCATGGAGGTTCTGGGAATTGAAGCGACAAGAGCTGCTTTGTTGAAGGAACTTCGCGGAGTAATAGAATTTGACGGTTCCTATGTAAACTATCGTCATCTGGCACTTTTGTGTGATGTAATGACATCCCGTGGTTACCTGATGGCTATCACTCGGCACGGGATCAATCGAGCGGAAACTGGTGCCTTGATGAGGTGTTCCTTCGAAGAGACAGTTGAAATTCTCATGGAAGCGGCAGCAGCTGGAGAGATTGATGATTGCAAAGGGGTCGCGGAGAACATCATGCTCGGCCAAGTCGCACCCTTGGGCACCGGTGAATTTGACGTATATCTTGATCAAGAAATGCTGAAAACAACTGCACCTTCGATAGAAGGACAAAACAAATCGATATCTTTTGAGACTCGTCGTACAACAGGAGCCATGACTCCTTCACACATACCAATGACACCATTTACGATCGGAAGTCACACTCCGGCGTATATGATGTCTCCCTCGTATGGTAGTAAATCTCCTCAGTATTATGCACCTACATCCCCAGCATTTTCACCGGTGCTCGAACCCACGGGCTCTAAGGCTATCACAGTCGGACAGAATTACCCATGGTCAAGCCCGTATAATTCAAGCAGTCCCGCTTATGGTCCATCTTCACCACAGTATTCCCCGAGTTCGCCTTCTGCGGCACCTTTTGCACACTCTCCGGCTCCTGCGTTTACTCCGCAGAGCCCCGCTTACAGCCCCACAAGTCCGTCTTATTCTCCTACAAGTCCACAGGCAAGTTATGGCCTTGGTAACATGCCCAATGCAACACCCTCGAATTATAGACCGACGACCAGTCCCACGTACTCGCCTACCAGTCCTTCATATTCACCCAACTCTCCAAGCTACTCTCCAACGTCTCCAAGCTATACGCCCACCTCTCCTAATTATACACCTACCTCTCCAAAATATTCACCCACCTCTCCAAATTATTCACCCACCTCTCCAAGTTATTCACCAACATCACCTAATTATACACCGACGTCGCCAAGATATTCTCCCACAGCAACGGCCCAGCATTATTCACCCACATCGCCAATTTATTCGCCAACGTCTCCAACATACTCGCCAACATCCCCTCATTACTCACCTACGTCACCTTCGTATTCGTAAGTATTTGATTTCTCCGTCTATCAAAATTTTACATTATTTGACTCTAAGTCTCGAATTCCTTATTCTGTTGCATACCAGCCCAACCTCGCCTGTATATACACCATCATCACCGAGTGCAACCAATTACGCATCAACTGTAAACTCCACGTATAGTCCAGTGTCATCTATAGGTACCGTTCAGAGTGGTATGGCATCAGCGACGTATAGTCCTACATCAGTGGTTAGCCACTCAACAATCAATTCTGGCTCTCCAGCATCACCACGATATAGGTTTGTATTGCATGCTATGCACACATACTGTATATATACGTATTATATAATCTGAATTTAATTGTTCACCATTTTTTTTTCTTTTTTGATGATAGCCCTACGTCACCTGCTTATTCACCGTAATCAGGGATGAATGTTAGATGGAATATCGATGTTAAACCAAGAATTTTATATAATTTTTTTTGCGGGCGAAAATTAATTTTACTCAAGCTTTAATTCAAGAAAAAAAAAACAATTGCTTACAATATATATAAATAACACTTATAAAGTGTTTTACTTTAAACTTTTTACTGTATTGGAGATCAGAAAAAAAAAAAAAAATAGAGAATGCCAAATTTTTCTTTTATTGATGTAAATTTCTTTGCTTTCTCTTCGAATAGCGACTAGGATTTTTTGTAAAGCCAAGTCCTCACCACCTTTGTATATTTTTTAATATTTTTAAAAAGACATCGAAAAAAAAAACAAAAAAAAAACCCACAAACCGTTGAAACTCTAATCCGAAATCATCTCTTAAATAATAATGGTTCAAATTACATGATTTGTTCGGTTAGAAATTTTTATTATGATAATGTGCCAATAAAAAATATATTTTAAATGCCATTGCTTATTAGCACGAGAGTAGTTGTTTGATTTATTCTTCTTTTTTTTAAATATAAATATATATCGTATATATAGTACATGTTAAAAATACTTTGATTGTTAATGTCTCAAACATTGAAATTATTGATCAAAATTTTCTATTTGGAATCATTGCTCGTGGCAACTCATCAGGTAATTCCCCACCAGACACGACAGCCTTACACAGATGCATTGCAACAGCAAATTGATCCGAATCCATATAACCATCATTATTCCAATCGGTCAAATTCCAAATCTTTGCCAACATCGCAGTATCCAAACCCGTCTCCATTAATACCGGTTTCACGGCCGACCCTGGAACCTTACCATTTACAGGTTTCATTGCGTTAAATTGCGGCATAATTGCTTGCTTATTAACCGCAGAAAAATCCCAGTAATCCGGTGGTAAGTCATTTCTCTCTGATGTTCGTGAAGATGATGCCACCGTTTCGAACGGATTACGCTCCATTGGAGTGATCCTTCGATTACCCTGTGGAACCTTTGTCATTAGTTTTGGCAAATCAACAGATAGTGCCTATGAGGTATCAATAGGTTGAGAAATTTTATTCCACAATAAAAAATGTCGGATAATTCATTCCAAATTCAAGTTTTTCACATGACTATAACCTACTTCTTCCACCTTATCAATTATTTTGAGGTTCAGACTGTTGAATTTATCAAATCGATAGAGACCAAGACCTTGCTTGAATCTTTCCAAATTCGGAAAATCGCCGGGAGCCAGATGATAACGTTGTTGAATCTTTAAAAATTCTTTGTCCAACTGTTGAATGAGTTCGTTTTGTTTCGAAGTTTTTCCAAACATTGAGGGCATCTCTTTTTTTAAATGCCCAATGATATATGCGTGTACCTAGTGTCGAGGTTTTTCAAGTACCATTAAACAAATACCCATCATATTATTTCTTAATTCATTTGTCA